AAAAAATGCAATTGTTTTGCATTTCATGTTTAAAAATACAAAATGCAGGAGTTATTTAAGTTAGCTTACTATGGTATTAGAAAAAGATTCAAAATGAAGCTAAACTAAGATTTTATTTTTAAAAAAAGCAAGAAATGCAACTTGATCACTTTAGTTAGTATTAGAAGGAAAAATAACTGAATTCTCAGAGATTTTTAGGATCCAATTTTGAATAGCTCCATCTGGTGTTTTTCATATTATACATAAAATAAAGGAAGCTAGCCAAGAGAAAGATTCCAAAATCCATATTAGCATAGTAGGTCTGTTATGCCAACATATAGGTCATACACATATACCTACACATGCAAAGATTGACACCAACACACATAGGGGCTCTTCCACCAATTTAATTCAACTGTTATGTTAGCTATTATTTTATTTATATATATAATTACTTATTTAATTCTTATATTATCTTGCTTCACTGGCAGTTTCAGCCCAAAGGTTGTACATGCATCAATAACCAGCAGGAGTTTTCAGAGCAGCCACTGAATTTATTCACAGCGTAATTCCCTTGCTTCATATTTACATTTTATATATGTTGGAATGAATGAAAATTTATATAGTCACCCAACTCACACTAGTGACTCCTGGTGGCTTACAAAGATAAAATTTGGAGTTTGGAGCATACAGGAAAATTTGGAGCATTCAATAAAATTTGAAATTTAGAGCACACAAGACACTAATTTATTCTAAATTTTAAAGAAATTATTAAACCTCACAAAATAATATTCATTAGAGTTTCCATTAAATCAATAAATAGAAACTGACCATATATCTGTAATCCAGGATTATAAACCTAAGAAGAGTGATCAGTTTTGTTTCTCTTGTATACAATAAAGCCATAATAATTATTTTTGTTTTTTCTTTCTTTTTCTGTATTAACATTTTTAAGGAAGGAATTTTTGAGAATAAATATACCAATTTACCAAAATATTTCTAACAAATCTTTCAATCATTTTAATAGGGGGTTTACAAGCCATTGCAGAATTGCTACAGGTAGATTGTGAAATGTATGGGCTTACTAATGACCATTATAGTGTCACATTAAGACGATACGCTGGAATGGCTCTAACAAATTTAACTTTTGGAGATGTAGCCAACAAGGTAGGTTTGAATCTCTTTGGATTTATTTCTGTTTATTCTAATAGATGCTGTTGTACTTCACAGATTGATTCTTGCTATTTTAAGTCTTGTTGTAAACTCTGAATGTAGGTGCCATCTGAATCTATCATTAGCAGTTTTCTTCTTGTGTGAACTAATTATAATGAGCTAAGATCCAGCTCTTTTTGTTTCATCTTATGCAATGAATGTTGATCTATAATTATATGTTATTTCTGCTTATCCATGAACCATTTTAATTTATATTTGGAAGTGTGCTTGCTTTACTGTGATTTTTTGAGATGTTTATTTCAACCCCCCCCCCAATTGATTTGGGGAGGAATCTTCCCCCTTTTGGTATTCAATTAGGTTTGGAGTTCTCAACTAAGATGTTCTCTTAAACCTCTCCTAGAAAAAAAACTTGCTTTTAACTTATTATGTTTGTCATTCTCATTTAATTATTACTTTAGTTTTATGAGAAGCCATTAGTGGACTAAATGCAAAAACAGAGAAAAGAATTCTATCTTGACAATCCATTAGATAATGTATCATCAACTGCCAACATACATCTAATTACGTGCTTCATAAAATCTCTCTCTCTTTCAAATAGGCTACTTTGTGTTCTATGAAGGGATGCATGAGAGCTTTAGTAGCCCAGTTAAAATCTGAAAGTGAAGATTTGCAGCAGGTAAACTTCATTGCTCGGGTAGTCTGTTTCTATATATTTATAACTTTCATGCAATGTTTCTTTTTTCCTTCTTTTGTATACTGTAATTTACTATCTGGATCTTCTGGTTTTTCAAAAGTTTTCCCTTTTTATTTTCTTATTTTGTAATCTTTCAATTAGTATATTGAGTGACATAATTTTTTTAATTTGTTTTTGAAGAAAAAAACAATTGATATGACCAGGGACAACTTTGAGGAGCTACACTAAAGTCACTAAATTGCCAAGCATTAAATGTTATTTTCCTTTTGATTTTTTAAGGAATTCTAAATGAATGTTGAGTTGAACTAATTCATGTCTGAAAGTCAATCAAATACGATAATATGCTATTAACAAACTATATTAAGGATTTTATTAGGTGCAATTTATTTTCGTATTCTGAGAAATATTTTCTTTTATATTGAATACTTTATGCTAAAATAATTACATTGAAAAAGTTTTCATATTTCATAATAATGTATTAGAACACTTTCATTTACAGATGAATAGTGTAAAAAACATAGAAAAATAGAGATAGAGATTTATAGATACCATTTTATCTCATGGTAAATGTCTATTATTGTCAAGAATTTTTATGATAAATTTAAAAAAGATGATGTTCTACATTTCTGACTCAAAGTCTCAAGCACAGAATTATTTAAAATCAATATACAGTGATACCTCAGTACTCATCATTAATTGGTTCTGGGAGGTACAATGAATACCAAAAACAAAAAATACCAAACAATTTTTCCTATAAAAAAATAGTGTAACGAGTCACAAGACATCCAACACTGGCAAGTTCTAGCTGGTACGTTGAGTACCAAACAAATGATGAATACCAGGGGGAAATGTTCATGTCAAATTGCATTGAGTACCAAGAGTTTCAAACCAGTTGAGTATCAAGGTACTACTGTATAAACTAGCATATTAAAATGAATAATAAACTATTCCTCACAATACCAAATAAGAGTCTATTAAATGCATGGTAATTAAAGCACATTACCTTTTTCTATTATTTCACTGACAATATTATAGGTTATTGCAAGTGTTTTAAGAAATTTGTCTTGGCGGGCAGATGTGAATAGTAAGAAGACACTACGAGAGGTTGGGAGTGTGAAAGCACTGATGGAATGTGCTTTGGAAGTTAAAAAGGTACTGTAGCAAATGAGTGTTTCTTTAGTATTTAAATATATTAAAAAATTCTATTTCCTCGTTTAAGAATAATACATAAAAGAGAGAGTTCAAATAGTTACTTTTGGCAAAGAAGACAATCTTTTATCAGTAATAGTTCCTTGAAAGTGGAAGCTCCTCTGGGAAGGAAGCTAGCAGGAGCAATTGGTTTTAAAAAGTCTTTTCCACTGATGGTACTCTTCTAAATAAACTACACACTAGCCTTTTTTTCCTAATTGTTGTTTTTATTTGTATATTACTTTACAGTAATAGTTTGGAACAAATTTAGTTGGGTGTGGATTAAATTAATTACTTTTGAATCACAGTGAAATAACTGAATATGTTGGGTAAAATTAGTTAGTTACCATAGATTAAAGTCTATTTGAATTTATAAAGTAATTTCCACCTAGTAAATGATATTGATAAATATGCTTAAATTTAAATTGTTACAAAAGCTGATAGGAAGTAACTACCAAAATAAGTACCTTGATTTTGGGGGGACAGGTGCTCTCCCATAAACCTTATAAGGGTAACAATTTGAAATTTTTATTAGTGCTATAATATGTCTACATCTGATAATGTACATGTATGCATAAATGTATTTATTTGTTTTTTCCCGTGCCACAGTGAAGAAGCTATCACTGCATTACTATCAAATAATAAAATGCCTATGGTATATTTCCAATGACATAACAGTAAATGTTATGTACATTTACACATACACAAATTCATTGCATATTTAAATAAAGACACATATTCTGTTTCACATATAGACATAGACTCATACACTGATAAAGTTGCTACATGGTTGCTGCCATGGATAGGGCAGTGGTTTTAAACAAAAAGGGAAGGCGGAAGAGAAGGCCTGCCAAGCATTTGTGAGGGGCATAGAAAATTATTGATCCTGCAGGGCCAACTTATCTACTAATCCACTTATCCACTGATATCTTAAGATGGGGTTTCCAAGCCCTGGGCCATGGCCCACTACTGGCCCATGACCTATTCGCAACCAGGCAGCGGGGCAGCACACACACGTGCACAGCTCAACTTGCAGTTGAGAGCATGTGTATGCACATGCCCCCTGGCCCACCTCTTGCACGAGTTGAGCTGCACACACATGCGCCCCAGTCCTGTCCCATCCCCGCCAGGTTGCCAGGCTACAAAGGTTGAGGACCACTATCTTAAGGTATTTCCTACTGAAATAAAGTTAATGTTTTTTATATAACTAAGAAATCTAAGGTAATGTTTTATTCTCTGCAGGAATCTACGCTGAAAAGTGTATTGAGTGCCTTATGGAATCTATCAGCGCATTGCACTGAGAATAAAGCTGATATATGTGCAGTGGATGGTGCTCTTGCCTTTTTGGTTGGCACACTGACATACCGAAGCCAAACAAATACTTTAGCCATCATTGAAAGTGGAGGGGGAATTCTTCGTAATGTGTCTAGTTTGATTGCTACAAATGAGGACCATAGGTGAGAATACTGTTTTATTGAATTATTTAGTGATCCATTCAATCACAGATATTCTATTAATGATTTGAGGTTGAGGGCAAATTCTGGAATCAGATCTTAACATAATGAATCTTTTATAAGGAGTGGAGGAGCCACTGTTTCAGCAGAGCCCGCTGAGTAGGCCTGTTTCCTTTTCATCCTTCTGTATTAGATTCATATTTCCAGAATAAAATTATTGCATGTGCTGAATATTTAAGTAAAATAGCACTATCAGCATAATATCTGCATGTAATAATTAGGGATATCCACATGGCTATCTCCTTGTCATAGAGCAGTGGTTCTCAACCTATGGGTCTGGAACAACCCTTTCACAGGGGTCATCTAAGACCATCGGAAAACACATATTTTCTATGGTCTTAGGAACCAAGATACCAATTTTATGGTTGGGGGTCACCACAACATGTGGAACTGTATTAAAGGGTCGTGGTATTGGAAAGGTTGAGAACCACTGTCATAGACAATATCTGCCATAATAAGTGATCTTTTGGAAACTATTATTCCCATAGAACTGGTTTGACATTTTTGATTCATTCTTTAAGAGGATTTCTTACTCAGAGTTTACAAGCCATATTATTTATGAAAAATAACAAGTTGCTATATTTGAGCTTTTTCATGTTGTCAAGGTGATAATTTTTATGCTTACATCTCAATTCCAGGCAAATACTGAGAGAGAATAACTGCTTGCAAACCCTCTTACATCATTTGAAGTCTCACAGTTTGACAATAGTCAGTAATGCATGTGGAACTTTGTGGAACCTGTCTGCACGGAATGCAAAGGACCAGGAAGCGTTATGGGACTTGGGAGCAGTCAGTATGCTCAAAAATCTCATACATTCGAAGCACAAAATGATAGCCATGGGGAGTGCTGCAGCTCTAAGAAATTTAATGGCAAACAGACCTGCAAAATACAAAGATGCTAATATTATGTCTCCAGGTTCAAGCTTGCCATCTCTTCATGTCAGAAAGCAAAAAGCACTGGAAGCAGAATTAGATGCTCAACAATTATCTGAGACTTTTGACAACATTGATAATTTAAGTCCCAAAACATCTCACCGCAATAAACAAAGACATAAACAGAATCTTTACAGTGAGTATGTTTTGGATGGTAATCGCCATGAAGATGGAGTGTGCAGATCAGAAAACTTTAACAGTGGAAATGTGACTGTACTTTCACCATATTTAAATACTACAGTATTGCCTGGCTCCTCCTCATCAAGCAGAGGAAATACAGAGAATTCTCGTTCTGAAAAAGAACGGAGTTTAGATAGGGACCGTGCAGTGGGATTGAACAGCTACCATAACACAGCAGAAAATTCTGGCAACTCTTCTAAACGAATAGGAATACAAATTTCTACTGCTGCTACCCAGATTTCAAAAGCAATGGAGGAAACAGCAAATATGCACATATCACAAGATGAAAGAAGCAGTGGATCTATAACAGAAATTCATAGTTTGTCGGAAGACAGAAATGCTTTAAGAAGAACTTCTACTGCTCACTCACACACAAGTAGTTATAACTTTCCAAAATCTGAGAACAGGGCATGTTCTGTACCATATTCAAAAGTAGAGTATAAAAGAGCTTCTAATGATAGTTTAAACAGTGTCAGTAGCAGTGATGGGTATGGTAAAAGAGGACAAATGAAGCCTATAGAATCTTATTCTGAAGACGAAGAAAGTAAATTTTGCAGTTATGGACAGTATCCTGCTGATTTAGCTCATAAAATACACAGTGCTAATCACATGGACGATAATGATGGGGAACTGGATACTCCAATAAACTATAGTTTGAAATATTCTGATGAACAATTGAATTCTGGAAGGCAGAGCCCATCTCAGAATGAAAGATGGGCAAGACCTAAGCATGAAATAGAAGAAGAAATAAAACAGAATGAGCAAAGGCAGAACAGAAGTCAAAGTGGAGCATATCCTGTATATCCTGAGAGTGGTGATAATAAACACCTAAGTTATCAATCAGCTTTTGGACAGCCAGAATGTGTCTCTCCTTTCAGATCAAGAGAATCCAGTAATTCAGAACAAAACAAAGTAGGATGTAATCATGGAATAAATCCCAAAGTCAATCAGTCCTTGTGTCAGGTGGATGATTATGAGACTGATAAGCCTACAAATTATAGTGAGCATTATTCTGAAGAGGAACAGCATGAGGAAGAAGATCATCCAACTAATTACAGCATAAAATACAATGAAGAGGCGCACCATGTGGATCAGCCAATTGATTACAGTCTTCGATATTCAACAGAGGTTCCTCCTGCACAGAAACCATCTTTTTCATTTTCAAAAACTCCATCGGTACAGAGTACTAAAACAGATCATATTTCGTCAAGCAGTGGAAATACATCATCATCTGCTGCATCCAAAAAACATAACCAACTTCATCCAAATTCTGCTCAGAATAGGGCAAATCATACTCAGAAGCCTACATCCTGCAAAGCATCCTCCATTAACCAGGAAACAATACAAACTTACTGTGTAGAAGATACACCAATATGTTTTTCAAGATGTAGCTCTCTGTCATCTTTATCATCAGCTGAAGATGAAACAGGACGTGATCATTCCACACGGGTAGCTGATACTGATAACTTTCTGAAGATAGTTGGAATGAAAGAAAACAGTGGGAATCAGTCAACAGCAGTAACAACTAATGAAACCTCATTAGCTTCCCAGCATCTTAGAACAAAATCAAATAGACTTCAGACTTCCACTGTTTCTTCCTCTGATTCAGCAAGACATAAAGCTGTTGAGTTTTCTTCGGGTGCCAAGTCTCCTTCAAAAAGTGGTGCCCAAACTCCCAAGAGCCCACCAGAACATTATTTACAGGAGACTCCGCTCATGTTTAGCAGATGTACCTCTGTGAGTTCCTTGGATAGTTTTGAGAGCCGTTCAATTGCTAGCTCTGTTCAAAGTGAGCCATGTAGTGGGATGATAAGTGGTATAATAAGCCCAAGTGATCTTCCAGATAGTCCTGGGCAGACAATGCCACCCAGCAGGAGTAAAACTCCACCACCTACCCAAGTGCCCCAAGTAAAGAGAGAAGCAGCCAAAGCAAAAGTATCCAACACTGAAAAGAGAGAATCTGGACCAAAACAAACAGCTGTAAATACAGCTGTTCAAAGGGTGCAGGTAATGCAAGATGCTGACACTTTGTTACACTTTGCAACAGAAAGTACACCAGATGGATTTTCTTGTTCATCAAGTCTGAGTGCTTTAAGTCTTGATGAACCGTTTATACAGAAAGATGTGGAATTGAGAATAATGCCTCCTGTGCATGAAAATGATCATGTAAATGAAGCAGAACTTGAACAATCAAATGATACGAAGGATAATATAGAAAAAGATACAAAAGAATCCACTGAAATAGAGAAAGATATTCTAGATGATTCAGATGAAGATGATATTGAAATATTGGAGGAGTGTATTATTTCTGCTATGCCAACTAAGTCTTCACGTAAAGCCAAAAAGCCTTCGCAGGTAACTGCTTCTAAAATACCTCCACCTGTAGCCAGAAAGCCAAGCCATTTGCCTGTATATAAACTTCTTCCTTCTCAGAGCAGATTACATTCCCAAAAGCATGTTACATTTACCCCTGGTGATGACATGCCACGTGTTTATTGTGTTGAGGGAACACCAATAAATTTTTCAACAGCTACATCTCTGAGTGATCTAACAATAGAATCACCTCCAAATGAACTGGCCAGTACAGGGATTGCTGTTTCAGGAATTGAATCAGCTGAAATTGAAAAGAGGGATACAATTCCCACAGAAGGAAGAAATACGGAAGATGCTCAAAGGGGAAAAAGCAGCTCAGCTGTTGGGTTGAATGATGACAAAACAGAGGAAGGTGATGATATTCTTGCAGAATGTATTAATTCTGCTATGCCAAAAGGGAAAAGTCACAAACCTTTCAGAGTGAAAAAGATAATGGATCAGATCCAGCTAGTATCTACACCATCCTCAAATACTAAAAATCAACTAGAAATAGAGAAAAAGAAACCAACGTCACCAGTAAAGCCTATGCCACAAAGCAATGAGTACAGAGCACGCTTAAGAAAAAATGTAGAATCAAAAAATAATTTTAGCAGTGAAAGAAATAATGAGAATAAAGAGACAAAGAAGCAGACTCTTGAAAATAATTCAAAAGATTTTAATGATAAACTTCCAAATAATGAAGAGCGTACAAGAGGAAACTTTACATTCGATTCTCCCCACCACTACACTCCAATTGAAGGAACCCCATATTGTTTTTCTCGAAATGACTCTTTGAGTTCCTTGGAATTTGATGATGATGTAGATCTTTCAAAAGAAAAGGCAGAACTGAGAAAGGGGAAAAACAATGAAATTGAAGCCAACTCCAATACAGAATATAGTTCAAATCAGCAATCAGTCACTATACCACAAGCTGGCCAAAAGCACTCTTCAACTGGAAGAAATCACCCCAAACCTTTGGGGCAAAATCAGACCTCTTTTTGTCCATCAGCCAAAGACATTACATCTACAGATGAAAAAACGCAGAATTTTGCAATAGAAAATACACCTGTTTGTTTCTCTCGTAATTCCTCTCTCAGTTCTCTCAGTGATATTGATCAGGAAAACAACAATAGCAAAGAAAGTGAACCTGTAGAACAAATAGAACCACCTGAGAAACACATAGAGCCAACTAGAGCACCAGTTTCTGGATATGCTCCTAAATCATTTCATGTGGAAGATACACCTGTATGCTTTTCAAGGAACAGCTCCCTTAGTTCTCTTAGTATTGATTCAGAAGATGATCTTTTGCAGGAATGTATTAGTTCAGCCATGCCTAAAAAGAAAAAGCCATCAAGGTCAAAGGGGGATAATGAAAAATTTAGTTCTAGAAACACTGGAGGCATTTTAGCAGAAAATCTCACATTAGATTTGAAAGATATACAAAGGCCTGATTCAGAGAACGGTTTCTCACCCGATTCAGAGAACTTTGATTGGAAAGCTATTCAAGAAGGTGCAAATTCTATAGTTAGCTGTTTACATCAAGCTGCTGCAGCAGCATCACTATCTAGACAAGCTTCCTCAGATTCAGATTCAATCCTTTCATTAAAATCAGGAATTTCCTTAGGATCACCATTTCATCTTACACCAGATCAAGAAGAAAAACCTTTTACTTGTAATAAGGGTCCAAGAATTATTAAACCAGGAGATAAGAGTACACTGGAAAATAAGAAAAATGAGTGTGAAAGTAAAGGAATTAAAGGAGGAAAGAAAGTTTATAAAAGCATGATTACAGGTAAAGCTCGTTCTAATTCTGAACTTACAAGTCATTTAAAACAGCCCTTGCAAACAAATATGCCCTCTATTTCCCGAGGAAGAACAATGATTCATATTCCTGGAGTTCGAAATAGTTCTTCAAGTACAAGTCCAGTTTCTAAAAAAGGACCACAACTTAAGAATGCAGCATCCAAAAGTCCTAATGAAAGCCAAAGTTCTACTAGCTCTCCAAGAGTTGTCAAACCGTCTATGAAATCTGACCCAAGCCCTATATCTAGACAGCCATCTCAACAGGTTATTTCAAGTAAAGGACCTTCTAGATCAGGATCTAGAGATTCTACACCTTCTAGACCACAACAGCAACCATTAAGTAGGCCACTGCAGTCTCCTGGCAGAAACTCAATTTCACCAGGTAGAAATGGCATAAGTCCTCCCAATAAGCTTTCCCAGCTGCCAAGAACAGCATCGCCAAGTACAGCTTCCAATAAGTCATCAGGTTCAGGAAGAATGGCATACACATCACCAGGCAGACAAATGAACCAGCAAACTGTAGCAAAACAAACAGGATTGCCTAAAAGTACCAGTGGAATTCCTAGAAGTGAATCTGCCTCAAAAGGATTAAATCAAAATTGTAATATCAGTGGATCAAATAAAAAGACTGAGTTATCTAGAATGTCATCAACCAAATCAAGTGGGAGTGAATCTGACCGATCAGAGAGACCTGTTTTAGTACGTCAGTCAACTTTTATTAAAGAAACCCCAAGTCCTACTTTAAGAAGGAAATTAGAAGAGTCTGTCTCCTTTGAATCTTTGTCACCTTCTAGACCAGACTCCCCAACCCAGTCCCAAACACAGACTCCAGTTTTAAGTCCATCGCTTCCTGACATGTCTTTATCTGCTCACTCAGCCATCCAAGCCAGTGGCTGGAGAAAATTACCTCCTAACCTGAGTCCATCTTTAGAATACAGTGATGGGAGGCCAACAAAACGGCATGACATAACTCGATCTCATTCTGAGAGTCCATCCAGATTGCCAATTAACAGATCAGGAACATGGAAGCGTGAACACAGTAAACATTCTTCATCACTTCCTCGTGTAAGTACTTGGCGAAGGACAGGAAGTTCTTCCTCAATTCTTTCAGCTTCTTCAGAATCCAGTGAAAAGGCAAAAAGTGAGGATGAAAAGCAACATGTAACTTCTTTTTCTGGACTCAAACAAGGTAAAGAAAATCAAGCACCAACCAAAGGGACTTGGAGAAAAATAAAGGAAAATGAAATTCCTCAAATAATGACAAGTCCTCCTCAGAATATGTCACCCAGTCCCACCAATGGTGCTGATTCAAAAACTCTAATTTATCAGATGGCCCCTGCGGTCTCTAAAACAGAGGATGTATGGGTGAGGATTGAGGACTGTCCTATTAATAATCCAAGGTCTGGAAAATCTCCAACAGGAAATAGTCCCCCCATTATTGACAGTGGTTCAGAGAAAAGTAGCATAAATAATAAAGATTCAAAAGATCTTCATGGAAATGTTCCTATTCGCACCATGGGTTTAGAAACGCGATTGAATTCATTTACCCAATCTGATGGTCCAGACAAGAAAGGAACTGAAACTAAAATTGTTCTAAGCAGCTCTACAGCTGCCCCAGAGACTAGTGAAAACACTCTGACTGAGCGCACACCATTTAGTTCTAGCAGCTCAAGTAAACACAGCTCACCAAGTGGTGCTGTTGCAGCACGTGTGACGCCTTTTAACTATAATCCAAGCCCCAGAAAAAGTAGTATAGATAACAGTTCTGTTCGACCATCGCAGATACCAACACCAGCAACTAACAGTACAAAAAAACGAGACTCAAAGACTGAAAGTACAGATTCGAATGGTGCACAAAGCCCTAAACGCCATTCAGGGTCTTATCTGGTGACTTCTGTTTAATGGAAAATTAACAATGTATTGATTTATGTGGATTTTTAAAAATAAAGCAGCAAAATTGTGGTTAGCCCCTCTTTTTTTTGTAAATAGGTTTGATTCTTGTAGAGGGTTCTTGTTCTGGAAGCCATATATAATATTCTTTGTCTTCACTAATATTTGAGGGATTCCCAATTGATAATTTAGCAATAAAATTGCTAAAATAATTATATTTGTACAGTATATTTTACATATATTTAATTAACATCCCATACCTTTATAATTGTTTTGATGGGTTGGGGGAATTTAGAAAGATGAAAAACAGATTAAAATAAATAATTCTATTAATATATCACTCACTTCTAGAGTTGCAAAATGGCTAAATAACTTCAGGGAAAAATTGGTATTTATGCCAAAAAAGAAAAACCCTCCACCTTAGTATTTGTGAAGCCACTAACCTTTTAATTAATCATGTGGCTGTGAAATTCACAGTAATATGGTTTCTGCTGAACAAGCCTTTTATTCCTGCATGGATAGAACTGATGGTTCATTTTCTGAAATGATAATTAACATTTCTGTGGTCACATAATGTGCATAGTTATAGTGAGATGAATACATTTTGGTTTTTGTGCTCTGCAAAAAAGAAAAAAGGACATATGTGTATGTGTAAACCTTGAACAAAATTATTTTACCAGAACTAGATTTTAACTGACAGTAGATAGGATTTTTGCTATGCTGTAACTTGTTGTATATTCTGGTATTTGAGGTAAGATGGCTGCTCTTTTATTAATGAGGCACAGGTGAAGTCTCAACAAAATTAAATGACAGAATAAATTATTGCTGTATGTACATTTTGTTGTGTGTTACTTTTGCAGTACATAACAATCAATGTTTAATTTTAATATGTTTAAGAAATCCTTTTTGTATTATGCATTTCCTCAAAAAGCGTGTTGGGAACAATAATTATTCTACTGAAGTCAGTGGAAACATTCTTACAAATTTGAATGGGTCTGTGTTATATCCACTGCCTAATACAGTCGCACACTGGTTTTCTTCCAATTTCTAATAGCTGTTTTTATGTATCAGCTGCAGCTTTAGGATATAGCATTAGTGTTTTCAGCTGAAATGTTTGTTGGTTCCTCCAGTTAAGAAAAGAGGCTTAAAAAAGTACTTCCATACGTATGCCCGAAGGCATAAATTTCCTATTGCACAGCCTACAGTGCTTTCAATATACAAATACAACATGGTAAGTATTGAGAATGAAAATTGTTTAAAAATTTTTTTTTCATTTGGTTAATGCACTAGAAACTAATGTACTAAATTTTAGTGTCTTGTAGAAAATAAGATTTGTATATTAAACTGCTCTGGACAAACCAACTTGGTATTTACATATATTTTACTTTAGAGACCTTCCGTGGACTGTTTACAACAGAAGTACTCTACTAAGTGCCTCTATGCAGAAATAGCAACATGTGTGTGCACATTGTTAATTAAAACAGTAGTAAGCAAGTCAAATGTGTATCTCAAGCAGATTTTTGTCATTACAATCCTGTTCATGATTATTTGACAAGTTCAATATCTGTTTACCGATGTTCTCAGATAATCCAGTTTAATCTGCAAATGAAATCAATGCTTAAAATGTATGGATGCTACAACAACTATTCTAGTACCAGTTTTACTTTTTCAGACCAGATAATAACCTCTATATTAAGCTAGATTGACAGCAACATTTTCAAGTGATTGATGGCCAAATTCACACAAAACGGAAAACTAGATCTGAGAAATGGTCACAAATATCCCTTCTACTTATTTCTCTCTATTTTCTCTTCTTACACATGATAAAAATGTGGGGGAAAAGAAAAGTTAAACAATTTAAGGTTTTACAGTGCCCAACTTTAAATCACTGCATAAAGCCTTAAATTGTTATTGCTGTTATTAAGGTTAGCAAAAAACAAAAACAAACCCAATGTTGCAAACTAATGATTTAAAGTATTTTTATATTAAGGATAGTTGAGATTAATTGCAACTTGTCTAGGCCTTGACATAATGATACACTAGCCATGGTAGGAATTCTAGGGATTTTTCTTGGGCATTTGGAACTACAGCTCCTGCAGCCATTTGCCATTGACCATAGTAACAAGGATTGATGAAGTCCAAAGTACCTAACGAGTATCAGGTTATGTACGGTGGCTTAGCCTAAAACAGAAATAAGAGCTTCTAAAGTCATGGTTATACTGGAAGAGGAGACAGCAATCTAGGCCTTGTAACAGTAAGTTGGTTTAGCATTACATAATTGTATCTTATGATGCAGCCTCTATTCCACTTGTTTTTTAAAAAATGCACACACATAGGTTGGCATTTAGCCCAATAATACTAATCCTAACATTACTAAGACCACAAAAATAACTAATTTAAATTCAAGTATGATAAAAGAATAGATGTACCGTAATTCCCCATTACTGATTCTCCGTCAAAAAGATTATACATATTTATTTCTTGTACTTTTTGCCTTTTAACAGGGCATATTTATTGGCATACCATATTGGTAGAATATCTTATGTGAACACAAGGCCTGCTTATCATATATATAATCTTTGTGATGGATTAATGTATATGTTTCAATGTACTTTTTGTGAGGCATCTTATGTGGATCAATAAACAGGATCAGTACGCAGTATGGTTCATCTCAATTTATCTTTAAATCACTTGTTGTATAAAGACAATAGGAAAACATAACAGGAAAAGCCCATCATGTACCCCTGTCTTTGCTGACTATTAAATTTTAATTTAGCATCTGGAGGTCACTAATGTTGTCATATTTGTACTTGCTGATTACTGCTATTTTGCTTCTACTGAAATTAATCACTAACTTGTAAAAGTGATGCGCCGTGCAGTATGGATAGAACCAAGTCAAGAAATTAAGACAACGTTTTTTTAAAAAGTTGACAGATTCATTTAAAGCTTTTTGGCTTCTTTCTGCAGTTTTGCTAATGAGAATTGTACTAATTTTCTCCACTTCCTTAATTGTGAGTTGATGTATAAGACAAGAGCTTTTCTTTTGTAATTTAATTCTCACACTGAAATAAACAAATTATTTGACAAACCAAGTGCATCTTTTTAACAAAATGTTCCAGAAAACGTGCATGTATTATTGTGTCTGTTTTTTATTGACATGAAGCACTTTCATTTCCAATATATTAAATATATAAACATACAGAAGAAAATATGAATGAATTCACCATGCATTACATGGAAATTCTAGAAGGCAATATTTTCAATATTAATCTAAAATAAAGAACATGGGGGTGTAACGTGAAACTGACAGAAGGGAAATTCAAAAGCAATGTTAGAAAGCATTAATTCACATTAGTGGTGGGATTCAACTGGTGTAACAACTGGCTCACTGAGTGTGCGCTTTGCATGCGCACACACCAGGCACATGCTTCACACGTGTGCACTGTTTGAAAACAGCTGTAAAACTTACCTTCTACTGCAGCCCCAGTGAATAAAACAGCTGAGGCACAGCAATCTGCTCTGCCATGCCTATCAGCTGGGCTTCAAACAAAGGAAATATAGGACAGACTAACGCAGGGGCAGTTGGGCGGGGCCAACTGATTGCTGGAACTATCAGTTTGCCCGAACCAGTCCAAACCGGCTGAATCCCACCCCTGCTGCATAGAAGCTTGGAACCAATTTCCAGCAGAGGTAGTGGATCAGTCATCAGTAACTGAGTTTAAACATCCTTGGGATGAACATGTCCATCACCTGACAAAAATTTAAAAAATTAAAAAGACAAAGGGCAGAACCAGGCCTTTTTCTGTTCTCAGTTTTCTATGTTTCTATGAAATGGCTAGGATAGAACTATGATTAACTTGCCCACTTATTTCAGTGAGACTAAAGCATGATTTAATTTAAATGGGACTTTTTGTGCTTCATTAAAATATTAACGTATGTCTTAAAGGTATTGTATATGTAGATCAGCTTTACTGACTATGCTAGCACCAGGTGCTTGTGTATTTTTCAGTACTGATCAACTGTTAGATTATATGGCAACATTCAAATGTGTTGGGAAACGCAAGGGAACAATGGTTTACTATTAAGCACCTCCTGTCCTTTTCTTAACAGTTGTTTGTTTTGGAAACAGTGTTAAACTATGAGTATTTGCCTATGTAGTCAGCTGCTTTCTGTTTCTAAGGACCAATTTCTCACAGATATTTTCTCAGAAGATAAGCAATATAAAGATGCCCATGGAATTATTGCAATAGATGTAATTAAAAAAGTGATCCAATTTATTTTACTCATATAGCAATATAAGAGCTTTGCTAAAAGTTGGTCTCAGATATACAGGTGAAACTCGAAAAATTAGAATATCGTGCAAAAGTTCATTTATTTCAGTAATGCAACTTAAAAGGTGAAACTAATATATGAGATAAGACTCAGTACATGCAAAGCAAGATAGTTCAAGCCGTGATTTGTCATAATTGTGATGATTATGGCGTACAGCTCATGAAAACCCCAAATCCACCATCTCAGAAAATTAGAATATTACATGCAATCAATAAAACAAGGATTGTACATAGAACAATATCGGACCTCTGAAAAGTATAAGCATGCATATGTACTCAGTACTTGGTTTGGGCCCCTTTTGCAGCAATTAACTGCCTCAATACGGTGTGGCATGGAAGCTATCAGCCTGTCGCACTACTGAGGTGTTATGGAAGACCAGGATGCTTCAATAGCGGCCTTCAGCTCTTCTGCATTGTTCGGTCTCATGTCTCTCATCTTTCTCTTGGCAATGCCCTATAGATTTTCTACGGGGTTCAGGTCAGGCGAGTTTGCTGGCCAATCAAGCACAGTAATCCCACAATCATTGAACCAGGTTTTGGTGCTTTTAGCAGTGTGGGCAGCTGGAAAATGAAGTCAGCATCCCCATAAAGCTCGTCTGCGGAAGGAAGCATGACGTGCTCCAAAATCTCCTGGTAGACGGCTGCGTTGACCCTGGTCTTAATGAAGCACAGTGGTCCAAAGTCCTGTTGCTCCTTAGTCCAAAGTCCTCTTTTCTGATGAGAGCAACTTTTGCCAAAAGCACCAAAAAGTGGTTCAATGACGGATTACTGTGCTTGATTGGCCTCTCCATTCTTCCTCCATACTCTGGGACGTTGGTTTCCAAATGAGATGCAGTAATTGCTGCAAAAGGAGCCCAAACCAGGTACTGAGTACATAATGCATGCTTATACTTTTCAGAGGTCCGATATTGTTCTATGTACAATCCTTGTTTTATTGATTGCATCTAATATTCTAATTTTCTGAGATAGTGGATTTGGGGTTTTCATGAGCTGTATGCCATAATCATCACAATTATGACAAATCACGGCTTGAACTATCTTGCTTTGCATCTAATGAGTCTTATCTCATATATTAGTTTCACCTTTTTAAGTTGCATTACTGAAATAAACGAACTTTTGCACGATATTCTAATTTTTCGAGTTTCACCTGTAAGTCATGCGCACAATGTGTGTGTGTGTACATACAGTAGGTTTATGTATATGTATACATATATACATATGTGTGTGTATGTAATTGTAATGGATACATTTTGAAAAATATAGTGTACATAAGCATATACTAATGAAAAAGTTAATATTTTCAACTAAAGCTGACTAGGATCAGTGAAGGGTTTTATCTGGATCAGCTAAAATTTGTCAGATAATTAACTGGATTAGGGATAATTGAAATAGGTCTGATGCATGTCAGAAAGCATATCTACTGCTTAACTGGATTGATTGATTCCAGTGGGCCACTGATTTACTTATTAATCAAATATATATCTCAACCACAGAAGACTCTTGGCAGCAAACAAAGATAAATATGTCATAACCATAACAAAATAACAGTACACAAAAACATCCTATTATACAATTAACTCCCCAGAGTATTACATGCTGTCAGACCGCAAAAATGCTCAAAGTTATTTTCAGTGTTCATCCTTTATGGTCAGTTACAAAAAATTATCTTAAAATAAAAATGAAATTTGCAAAATGAATTTCTTATTTGTCAATAAAAAGTTTTACACACAAAGCAAAATTTGGCAACATTCAAAGAAACAATCATATTGGCTGACAAATAGCAACTGTCAGCGATATGTAAAATAGATCTAAATGTCTCAGAAGTTTAATAAGAAAATGATAAAATGCAACCTTGTGTATCTATAAAATGGGCAATGACACAACACATGGACTGTATTTTCAATCTTACTTCCTACAAGAACAGAATCTTAAAGGGATTTTCCTAAACCACCTTCAAGGATAGCTGTGTAAAGTATATTGTAACATACTGGGGTTTAGTGCTATCCTAAATTTAGGGATGGAAATATGATTTAGATATTTTGTTAGTTTAAAAAATATTCCTTTAAAAAACCTTCTAGGGATAGCTGATAAAGATAATTAGAGCCAAGGTGGCGCAGTGGTTAAATGCAGCACTGCAGGCTACTGCTAGATCAGCAGGTCAGCGGTTCAAATCTCACCGGCTCAGGGTTGACTCAGCCTTCCATCCTTCCGAGGTGGGTAAAATGAGGACCCAGATTGTTGGGGGCAATATGCTGACTCTCTGTAAACCGCTTAGAGAGGCCTGAAAGGCCTATGAAGCGGTATATAAGTCTACTGCTATTGCTATTGCTATAATTGACTTATATATGTATAATGTGTTGCTTAAAGGCCTGACACAGCTTGTTTATAATCCATCATCAGTAATGTATTTTATGAAAAGCTGTAACTGCAACGTCCAACGAATTAGTCTCCTAAATTGATTCAAAAATTATAATGAGTATCAGAATACCTGTGTATGCTGGGAAAAACTGATTTCAACCACAAAAAATCCTGCACAACCATTTACTAATAGCCACTCTAATCACATCAGTTTTATGAAAGACCACATTAGCATACTTTGTACCACTTGAAAAAATAGTCCTTAGAAATGGAAATCGTACTCTCTTTAATGGGGCTAAATAGCTTTATCAGCCTATATGGAAACCAAATAAAGGGTACACATGATCTTTTGCTGAAAAATGCTTTAAGGGAGCTAATATAAATAATGTTCTAGAGTAATAAAAAGATGGCAGACTAATGCCAATTTTGAGGCATTTTGAACAATATAATCCCAGTGTGCCCTATCGTTACCAAAGAACTGAAAACTATTCACAAATATATTAAGATTTTAACTTGTTCAATCAGGTGCTCATTCAACTGTCAGGCATAGACTCTGTGATGTTTGACAAATACCAAGATCTTAATTTTAGAACTTCTGTTCAGCAGTTTTTTCCTTATAATTCATGGCAGAGCAAACACATTCATCCCAAACCAATTTTATATGATTATGATACTGCATCATCCATATACAAATTTATCACATTGTGTTTGTCAACCACTTTCAGAAGATAGTATGCAAAGATATTTAACTTGGTCACTACAAAATTGATATGTAAGTTAAGTAACAAAGGTGACAGGATACAGTCCTGTCGTTAAGAATAGATCTGGTGCAGGGGTGGCTTCCGGCTGGCACTACTGCCGGTTCGCTCGTGTGTGTGCTTTGTGTGTGCACTTCATGTGCATGCTTGTGCTTGATGCGCACTATGCGCACATGTGCAGTGCAATTAAAATTGTTCTGTGCATGCGCAGAAATGAAAAACAAGATGGTGGCACCAATGGTGCCGACTGGGGAACTGGTTTGGGGGTGTGGCAGGCCTGGATCGCTGCCGGTTCCAGTGACCNCTGCTGATCTAGCAGTAGCCTGCAGTGCTGCATTTAACCACTGCGCCACCTTTCAAGTCTGAAGCAATCTGTTTCAGTCTTTCTGGATTTCAGAATGCTTATGTTCTGTTGAAACACCAATTCTGAACATGAAACAACTGTTTTGAACTTGAAATGAAGTATTCTGAATTTCAAAATGATTTCCACACTATTATTTAACTTCTAGAATCCATTGAATGTCTTCCTGAATGCAAACATTCATTGCGGAAAGCAAGAATTAGCTTTGTGTTACCTATAAAAATTGATAAGAGTTTGCTAATTTTGAAGCACTTAAATGTGAAGTGAAAACTGTGAAATG